TCAGAGAGACAATATCAGTGATTACAGATGAGGAGGAATGGACTTTCATATTTAGGCATAAAAAGATATGAGGTAACTAACGTCTTGGAGCATCTAATCTATGGTGTGGAGAAGGTTCCTAGGTTTGAGGAGAGCATCTTCTGTGGAGAATTCCTAGGATTGAGTTCTAAGATCCAGCCAGTTAGTAATGAAAGGGAGAAAGACTGGAGAAGCTCATTAGAATTGGAGTGTACTGGAGTCTGGTTCTAAAGATAAGTTATTTTTTTTTTTGTTGACAGTTTGGATATTTGTGAAAAACTGCTCAAATAACATGGTAATCAGCAATACGGTAATTTTTATTAGATTATTAATTAATGTCATTGCCTTAGTAGAAATTGTCAAAGTCTCTGAGAATGCTGAACACGAGTGTCCCATTTTAGGGCTATCTGTTGAAACCACCTGCTGGGTGTGCACCTGACCATCTACATATTGGATTATCACCTCACCCCAATTCAAGACTGGGCCTCAATAGAGGCTGTCCTATTCTCTCAGCATGCCAAATAGGACTCTCCAAATATGGCCTAATATTCTCTCCCAAACCAACATAGTGAACATAGTGGGAGTTAACGGGCAAATTAACAGCCCACACATTATTATTACCGTTTACTCGTCAATTCCTCATACCACAATGGCGGGATGGCTACTGCCTTTCATACCTCTTATGCTACTGTTCAATCCTGCATTAACCTGTGGGCCATGCTGACTCAACTCACGGTGGTGCTCCCCAGCTAAAACAAGTTTGGAAGGAGGAATGGCATCCACTTCTTTAAGAGGATGAAAGTCATGCAAGGGTTGAGGTCTTTCGTTCATAGGCACTGAACAACAACAACAGTGGCCACGGCAGGTGATGAGGAGTGGAGAGGATGGAAAGGGGGAGCCTGGGGTCTAAATCTGATCAAGAGGGAAGGAGAGGGTGTGGTGGGGAGGGGAGCCTGGGCAGTGGTGCTGCTGGTCCTCTGCATCCCAGGTTGGGGGGTGGGAGTGACGGTGGCCCAGACCTGGGGGGAGGAGACCTGAGGAGGAGGGGACAAGGCCAGAAGGGAGGGGTGAAGATCCAGGCCTGAAGGAGGGGAGGGACCAGACCTGGAAGAGGGAATGGGGATCAGGTCTGAGGGAGGGGAGGGGTCAGGTAGAAGGGAAGGGAGGGGAGAGGGATGAGGGGAAAGGCAGGAGGGAGCCGTGAGGGAGGGGAGAAGGATCAGGCCTGAGGGGACAAGGCAGTCTCTAAGCACCAGGCCTGAGGCCACTGAGGGAAACCAGGCCCTTCATCGGAGCCCACAGAGGGTGTGCCCCAGAGCTGCCACCCTGAACCTGGACTTCGGAACCTTCAGTGAGAGAACCAATTCCTATTTATTAAAGAGTTGACCTCTAACCTCTCCATGTGCTCGATCTAACAGGTTTGTTTTGTCAAAGCACCAGAATGTACTGCAGGATCCATCTCCAAGGAGGGACCTGGGGCAGGAGGCGGAGCCAGCGCTCTCACCTGGTGTGGGCCAGGGGCCTGGTTAGCGTCCTCTCAGGAGCACAGTGGCCAGCCCACTGCGGGGCTGGGACACAGGCCGGGGCTGGGACACAGGCCGCGGCTGGTCCATCCTGCAGCCTGGCTGACCGCGCTGGTAAAACAGTGGCCTTGGAGCGGCCGCTGACCCCGCTAAGGACCACCCCGCAGCGGTCCCTGTCACATCCATGCCTCGGAGCCTGGAGGACTCCTCCCTGCTGGCCCACTGGGCTCCAGGTCACAGTTCCGGCCCGGCCCTCCCTCCACAAGCGGCCTCCCCACGGCTTTACTGGCTGGTGAGGGGACATCAGTCTGCTCAGTCCACGTCCCTGTGCACAGCTGGGTGCAGAGGACACGAGCCACAGGCCAGGTGTGAGGGAAGGGGGCAGGCCTGGTGGGCTCTGCCCAAGAAGGTGACAAAGGGGAAAGAGCTGGATCCAGCCCAGCCCAGCAGCTGGTCCTCCTGGGCATCGGGAGATACCACTGGACAGACGTCACTGTGGAGTATGAGGGACCAGCATGTCCACGTCAGCGGTCAGCAGGCACACCTGGAGAGAGGCCAGCTAACAGAGAGAAGCCTGAAATGACTTGTGCTTCTAGCTCATGTGACTGGCGTCCAGTCCAGTTACACCCCGGTCTGGGGACCAGATGCTGCAGACTGAGGCTGGCCCCACCCACAAAGGCAGCTGTCCCTCGCAGGCCCTGGCGATGGGGGCCTGTCCAGAGGGCCTCCAGCAGCATTTCTCTGCCAAGTTCACCTCGTGACCTCCAAACTGCCCATGTCCTGAGAGACCAAGGGAACAGGCAGCTTGAATGAGCTTATAACCCAGAGACACTGGGCAGGAGTTGAAGCCATCCTGGCTAGGGCAGACGGCAGGCGCCCTCATGCCCCTATTTTTAGCCTGGTGGGAATATCTGGCATGCCGCCACGTCCTAAGAAACACTGTCCTCAGCTCTCCTGACCTAGGAGCGAGAGGCTGCTGGGCAGGGCCTCAGGCCTCCTTCCCCACCCCCACTGCAGTAGGCAGGAGGCTGAGGTGTGAGGCTCAGATGGAGGTCCATGTGTGACTGAGGTGTGAGGCTCAGGTGTGAGGCTCGGAGGGAGGTCCAGGTGTGCAGCTCAGGTGGTCTAAGACCCCTGGGAGCCGGACAAGGTACAACCACCCTAAAGTCCATGCTGAGAGGCCTCCTGCCCTCTGAGGAAGCGGGAGGACAGTGTCCACCCACCTTTGACTCCTTCTTCTTCAGTTTCTGAGGCAGACACGGTCTCTGGAGAAATACAATCTGCTTGGTGGACACGTTCCCCTCCCTGTAACACACACAGGGTGGACAGTGAGTCCCTGGATAGCTGGAGAAACCCAAACACGGTGATGAGAGGGACATGGTCATCCCACGTCCCACAGCAGAGCCTACAGGACAGAGAGCTATCACAAGTCAGCAGGTGACAGAAATCCCGCAGCCCACTGCCCTGTTCCCCTCACCCCCAGGCCTGTGACCCTCAGCTTCTCGGGGCTGTGTCAGGGTCCAACCAAAGCCATCTGTGTGTCCCTGCAAAGCCAGTGTCACAGCCGGCGACTTCCACCCCTGGATGTGAAGTCACAGCCCAGCAGCTGGGCCGAAGATGACAGAGTGGAAATGTGGAAGGGGCAGGAAGAGGGATATGGCAGAGGGGCCTGGCTGGCCCAGGGCGGCGGGAGGTGAGGGCCTGGCCGGAGGGCTCTGAGAGGGGCCTTTGGGCGGGCGGGGCGCTTGCTGAGCAGGGGGAGGGTATCTGCTGTGGTCCCACTGTGCACAAGGCAACGGGGTTCCTGCTGGCACAGGGACTGCCCTCAGCCCTGCCTCCAACTAACGAAGCAGTGAGGGGACAAGGGGACCCCCCGGTGCTGCCATGAGCGAGGACAGAAATCCTGCAGGGGCGAGTCTAACAGTGCGCCACCAGGCCCCCCTCTGCTGCAGCTCACTGCTGTGGAGACAAGCAGACTCGGGATCTGTTCACGATGCAGGGCCCCCTTATCACTGCAGGGCCCCCCTTATCACTGCAGGGCCCCTCTTATCAGTACAGGACCCCCTTATCACTGCAGGGCCCCCCTTATCACTGCAGATCTCTCCTTATCAGTGCAGGACCCCCTTATCACTGCAGAGCCCCCCTTATCACTGCAGGGCCCCCTTATCAGTGCGGGGCCCCCCTTATCACTGCAGAGCCCCCCTTATCACTGCAGGGCCCCTCTTATCAGTGCAGGACCCCCTTATCACTGCAGAGCCCCCCCTTATCACTGCAGGGCCCCCCTTATCACTGCAGGGCCCTCTTATCACTGCAGAACCCCCTTATCAGTGCAGGGCCCCCCCTTATCACTGCAGAGCCCCCTTATCAGTGCAGAGCCCCCCTTATCACTGCAGGCCCCTTATCACTGCAGAGCCCTCCTTATCACTGCAGATCCCTCCTTATCAGTGCAGGGCCCTCTTAACACTGTAGGTCCCCTTATCACTGCAGGGCCCCCTTATTAGTGCAGGGCCCCCTTATCACTGCAGGGCCCCCTTATTGCTGCAGAGCCCCCCTTATCAGTGCAGGGCCCCCCTTATCATGGAAGGAAACATCTGCACAGAGCTGAGGAATTCAACAGCACACTGTTGTCAAGTTGCAACCACCTTAGCCAACCCTCTAGTGGGTTTTCAGAGGCTGTGAACTGCACGGGAGGAGGGTGCCCATCTTTCTCCCACAGAGCAGCTGGTGGATTTGAGCCACCGCCCCTGGACTGGCAGTGCAGCTCCTTACCCACCTGACCTAGTAATAACCAACAAGAAGGTTGCAAATACTAACAGAGCAGACGCCTCTTTCCCCTTCCACAGAGCAGTGGGTGGATGTGAACTCCGACCTTCACTTAGCACACCCCGCACTGTGCCAGGAGGGCTCGCTCTGGTTCAGCCAGCAAACCTAAAAGGCAGATGGCAGGCCTTGAGGGCTGCATGACCGGACAAGCTTGTGGGTTCCGGGGGCAGCAGGGAGCTGGGGGTGGCCAGGCAGCAGTGGACGTGAAACCAGAAGGGATGTCACAAGTGAAGGTCAGGTCTCCATGTCCCCCACATGGGACTGCTGACCAGCTCTGAGATTCCAGACAAGTCCCCTCACTTCCTGGCTACACTTCCCTCATCTGTAAAATGGGCTGCATGTAAGTACTGCCTCACGTGCAGAAGCCTAGCTTGGCCCACGGCCCACACAAGGGCTGGGTTTCTGGAGTGTTTGAGGCCCTTGGCCGCTTCTACTGGGCAGTGGGACAGGCCAGGCTATCTGGCCAAGGCTGATGTTGGGAAGCGGGGTGCAGAGGGAATGCTGGGTGGGGTCACAAGGAAGCTGAAACTCCACTCACTGCACCAGCCTCTGAGAGTTCTGGTGGCCTAGTGGTAATGAGCTGAGCTGCCAACCCAAAGGCAAGTGGTTCAAGTCCTGCAGCTGTTCTGAGAGGAGGATAGGCAGTCTCCTCCTGGGCTTTGCCTTTGGGAACCCTCTGTGTGGTCAGCTCTGGGTTGGCTCTGACCCGATGGTACATGACCACCACCTACGACTGTGAGAACGTGAGCTGTACACGTGACGTGCTCACGGGGAGCACTGTGGCCGACTCTGTAGGGAGTCACTGCCACCCCAGAGGCACCTCCTCTTCGGCGGTTCAAGTCCACCAGCCGCTTCTCCAGGGAAAGATGGGCCATCACCTCCTGCAGGACTTCTGGCCTCTGAAACCGCACTGGAGGGCCGGGGAGGGGTCAGCTCGGATTTGACGACCAGGAGCTGGTTTTGCTGTATTTTCAGTGCTGCACTGAGGGGCCCACGTCCCTCACTGTCTGCACTTACCTGGTCGTCCTGACGACGGGGGTCGGGAGGACACAGGTGAGCTGCCAGCCATAGGCGGCCAGTGAGTTCAGCAGGGGCACGTAGTCAGTCTGCACCTCGGTGCCCTGGGGAGAGAGGTCACCATGAGGGCTGCTACTGTCCCCGACCCTGTGGGACACTCAGGCCACCAGCCCCGCAGAGCCGACAGGAGCCAGAGGCCCACTCGCCAACGGCCTGGAGAGCTGAGAACAAATCGCCCTCACAAGATTCCTTTATGGGCCTGGTCAGAACGCAGCCAAAGGATTAACCCCTGACCTCTGTTATCTTCTCGTCCAATAGACAGCGTCCTGGGCCTGTGACTGCAGAAGGACAAGCATGTCTGCCTGGGCGGCCAGGGTCAGGACAGGACACTGTTCTGGATGGTTCCAGATCGTGCTGGGGAGAGGTCACTGACAGCCCCCACACACGGGCACCTCTCGCTGTAACCAGGCACAGGCGTCATCACTCACCGTCACATTCCCACTGACCATCAATAAACACGCTGCCCAGGTTGTGTCCCCCTCGGGAACAGGGTGGCAGCTCCCTTCCCATTTAGAAGGTGCATCGGGACCCCCAGAAGGCAGCCCTGACAGTGAGCTGGCACCCCCACCGCGGCTTCCTGCAGGGCTGGTCCCTCCTAAGGACACGCTCAGAGCACGTGTGATGAAGGCCTGCCGTCATCACTTCTCAGGAGCACTCTGGCTGCCAGCTGAGTGCTGGCTCTGTCAGCGGATCTCGGGGTGTGGTTCCCATATCACCACGGAGCTCCTTACAATGTATAATCCAGGTCCCGTCCCTGGATCGGGAAGGTGGGGAGCGGGCCCAGGAGCGAGTGCTTGGACCCCCTCCCAGCGGTTTCTGACGCAGCTATGTGTGAGAACCGAGTGATCTCCTACGTCCCTTTTGGTGAAGAAAAGAATCTACAATTCTAGGACCAGAACATATTGCTGTCAGCTGCATTCTAACCTTCCCATTTCATGAGTGTTTCTGCAGATGAGCACGGATGTCAGTATAAAGACTAAGGAGTGCCGGCCCAAGCTTTGGTCTTTCCAGTTGCTTCGTATGCATCTCAGAGCTGGACAATAAGAAGAATCACTGCCTTCGAGTCGTGGAGCTGGTGAGGAGTGCCGAACCCCCCGGGCTGCCAAAAGAGCCAACAAATCCTGTCGTGGACCAAGTGTAGCCAGGATGCTCCTTCGAGACAGGGACGGTGGCAGTTCACCTCACTTACTTGGGGCATATTTTCAGAGGGAACTAGCTGGCCGCTGGTGAGGGACATCCAAGGGAAGGTCCTTGAAAGAGCGGGAGACCCTCAACAAGAGGCCTTGCCACAGTGACTGTAAGATGGGCTGGCGCAGATCAGAGATGGTCGGGATGGCGCAGGGCAGGGTTCTGTGGGTCACGGGGTCACTGCGAGGCACTGTCCACGTCACAGCAGTGACCGCTTTCCCATTGTTGCCATTATAAACAGACCTTTAAAAGGACCAGCAGACAGGAAGGAGAAGAGAAAGCAAGGGAGAGAGAAAAGAAGGATGGATCAAAGGGGGCGACAGGAGAGCCTGGGAGCCCAGGTCAGCAGGGAACCAGTGACCCCACTTCTAAGCCAAGGAAGGACTGTGTGGCTCAGTCCTTGCAGCCTCCTGCCCAGCCCTGCATGCCCGGTTTAGAGGGGGAAATGAAAAGTCAGTCCCCCCAACACCACCTTTGCAGGGTTGTGAGGCCCTGGTCCTCTCAAGAATAACCTCCCCACTTTATCAAGCACTGTGACAAACCCACCACAATCAGACAGTAGCCATGGCAACCAGGACAAGCTTTGGCGCCTCACAAAGCCCTGAGTGGCAGGAAGGAGCTTTCCATTGGTGACTGTGCCCGGCCAGCTCCCCCCTTCCTCTCCGCCAAGCAGAAGACAATGTGAGACCCCCGCTGAAGCCCGATCCCCCCTCCTCAGAAGGGCGGCTGCCAGTTGGCTCTGTTTTATTCCATTCAGCCACAGTCTTAAAGAGAAAGAAGGCAGGATTTCCCTCAAACCTTCTCCCTGCTCAAGGTGGGAGATGCCAGCGAGAGTGCAGACTCAAAATGCTAAAAGAAAGGACAGATGGACAGACACAGACCCGGCTCGGCCATTGCCTGAGGCCCCCAGTGTGTGGTCACTTGACTGGCACATGGATGCTGGACAGTCAGATGCTGGAGGTGTCACTATCCCCCCAATTCTCTAACTCCTCAGGCTGGTCTTGATTTCATTTACGTGGAGCCAGTGTCGCTGTTTAACAAATGTGTGTTACAGAGTAAGAAGGAGCATTTCTCCAGGACACTGTGACTGGCCTGGAAGCCCATCCAACGAGGAAGGTGGAGGGGAGCAGCCTGGGGCAGGGGAGCAGCTTGGTGCAGGGAGCAGCCTGGTGGAAGGGAGCAGCCTGGTGGAAGGGAGCAGCCTGGTGGAAGGCTCTCTCCGATCTGTTTTCTGGGCCACTCAGGGAGGCGAGCACACAGCACTCACCAGCCAGCCCGCTTATCACACAAAAGACATTCCTTTCTGCAAGATTTTAATTAACTCTCCCCTCTCCCAAGGTGGGTAGTAATCTCCTATCACACCTGGATGGCTGGGAAACATGGTGCTCCTGTGGTTTTTTAACGTATATAAAAGGAATTCATTTGTATTTGTGGTTCTTTCCCCTCCTTTGTGCGCTGTAATTTCTCCAGCGGTCGCAAATCAGCTAAAGAGACAGACATCCAACACAACCTTCCCTTACCCTCCAAAACGATCACGACAGAAGCGAGAGCGGGCCAAGCACGAAATGCACTTGTCTTTTGATCGTTTAAAAAAATATTCTGTGCAGGGAAATGACGAGGAGGTAACGCGTGGGCCCACAGAACACAGAGCCTCTCTGGTATCAGTTCGTTCCTGCCGTTTCCTGCTTCAATCTGTGGGTGAGGTCTGAGGAGTGGAGCAGCACAGGGGAAACACTGGGCTCCTCACGCTGCCCTCACCTGCGTCCAGCTGGTTCTGCCTCCAAGGTCCTGCGCACAGCCTGGCCCGGCCCAGGTCATCCTCACAACAGTGGCTATGTCTGAGCCCACTGTGTCAGCCCACCTGGTCGAGGGTCTTCTTCACAGACCTTCTCCTCTACCAAGCACATTGTCCATCTCCAGGGACTTGTCCTTGAGGACAACACGTCCAAGCTTCTGAGATGAAGTCTGACCACCATGCCTCCAAGGCGCGCCCTCACTTCATTTGTCCGAGATGGACTTGTTTGTGCTTCAGTGTGTACTCAGAGCCCTTCACCACATAATTCAGAGGCATAGACTCTTCTCTGCAGCTAGTTACCACTGTCTGACTCCCAGCCTCCCTATGTACCAGTGTGAAAGCTTTCCAAATCCTGGGCCAGCCTCACAAACCCCGATGAGTGTAAATCCATTCGTGCCATCGCCCTCAGTCCATCTCCTCGAGTCTTCCTCTTCCTGACCCTTCACCTTCCCAAGCATGATGCTCACTTCCCAGGACAAGCCTCACCTGATGGTACATTCAGAGTGTGTGCGGAGCAGTCACCATTCCTGCCTCCCAGAAACAGCCTGGCTGCACTCTTCCAAGATCTCTCTGTTGGTTCTTCTGACGGTCCATGGAATAGCCAGCACTCTCCTCCAACACCACAACCTGAAGTCATCAATTCTTTTTTTGTCCTCCTTAGTCACTGTCTTACTTTCAAAATTTAAAGATGGCGTTGCCCCGCTGACTGCTGGGACTTGTGGTTTTTGTACCTGTGTGGCGTAGGCAGAAAGGATTGGGGCTGGTGTGGGAAGAACCCTGGCCCGGCCCTCCTGTCTTTGCAGAACCCCCCCACCAAAATCCAAAATTTAAAGATGACGTTGACACAACTATCTTACTTTCAGATAAACAGGAAGTACATGAAAAGACTTTGAGTGAGATGCACCTTAGTGTTTACACTGACTCCATTGCTCTCTCTAGTATTTAAAGAGGCCTCTGACAGCTCATTTACCCAATGCACTAATACATCATTTGATTTCTTTTCTGTTGCTTCTCCCATGGGTGTGTCAGACGCATCAGTGTCTGCTAAGTGACCGTCTCCCTAACACTTTAAAGAGCTGTCTTGTGGCAAACATACCCAATGAGACCATATTTGTTTGATTTCTTGATTGCTGCTTCTAGTCCCCACACAGGGCCATAAATAAAGACTCTCAGGGACTCGGTTTCCCAGGTTTGAAAAGTGTGCAGCAGGCAGCTAGGGGACAGACTCCGTCCCTGCAGCAGTGACCACAGGGTGACCACAGGCTGCTGACCACTCCCGTCACCCACAGGGTAAGCTGTTCTTACTCTTTCACCAAGAATTTACCTAAGAAAAGGCCCTGCAAAATCCCTTTTTGTTATTTGTAAAACTGCTACTGACTCAGTAACAAGTAGTGTGCATATCTACTGTTACTACTCATCAATTTTACACAGCATCCCTTGCTCTCAGCCACAGGAAATGAGGGTTCAGCACTTCTTACCGCTTCCTCTTTGCACTCAAAGTTACAATGCTGGCTAAATTAAACTCAGTTTTTGTTATTTTAACTTTACAAACATGCTGGGTTTACCGCTTCCATTTTATACAACCCTTTGTTTTTATTTTATCCCCCCACTGCCTGGTTGTCGATGCACTAATTTATGCTGCACATTCCAATATATTCTGACATGCCCATCCACACATTGTTCATACGCCTCATACATCCAGTCAGAATGCCTGGGACCAGCAGTTGGGACAGCAGGAGATGTACTGCACTGGGAAAGACTCCTTTGAGGGACCTCTCCAAGTACTGAGGAGCAATGATGTCATTCTGAGGACTAAGGTGAGCCTGATTCAGACACTGGTCTTTTCAGTTACTTATTACACATCCGAGAACTGGGCAATGACTAAGGATGATGGAAGAAGAATCAATAGCATTGAAACTGTGGTGTTGAAGAAGAGTGCTAAATATCCCACGGACTGTCAAGAGAACAAAGTAAGTGCCAAGAGACAGGTCTTGGAGACGGTGCAGCCAGACTGCTCTCTGGAGGCAACGATGATAACGCTTCATCTCCCATGCTTTGGGA